TCCTCAAACGCCTACCAAACATGGTCGTAAACATCTTCTAAAATACTAATACTACATTAAAATTTCTATTTCATAAGCAATTTAACAAATTTTTTAAAGCTTAAATGAAACATTTAATTTCAATATTAAGCGAACTTATAAACTCTCAATATAAATATAGGGGAAAATTGCCGATACTGACAGGTCTTCTAAAAAAAACATCCTCTTATTTCTTGGAAACTAAACATTGCACTTTATTAATACCGCGAAAAAAGTATGATTTATTTAAATGATTAAAGAAGTTAAAACCCCATTTATATATTTATATATTTGTGGCTTGTTTCTATATAAAAACAACTAAAAATAAATTCTACGAATTCAAAAATAAAATTCTTATAATTTTCTTTTGCAAATTGCCTAGTTAAAATAACAGTACGTATATTATTGGCAATATTAAATAATTTAACATGTTTGTAATTTTCTAAAATTATTTTATTTTTATTTTTCTCACAGTATGATTTTAAACATAAAATCAGAACGAAACTTTTCAACGAAAATCGACCATCTATAAAACGGACTATAAGCTAACCTAATCTATATATACCGTCGCGTTATTTGTTTAAAATAGCTCTATCGAAGCTAAAAGTACTACTATGTTTACGAAAACCTTCTCTGCTTCAAAATAATGTTGCGTTATATATTTACGTTTTGCCAAATATCATAAAGTAAGTTTATAAATATCAACAAAAAATATTTTATGTCAAAGTAAAAGGATTCTATAAATTTTCATAGATTAACTTGTAGATAATTTGTATAGATGATTTCTGTAAAAAGAAAAAGAATAAGAACATTTTCTTCAGATGTCATTTTTTGTTCAGATACTTATTTTGTTTTAGATGTTCATTTTTGCTTATCTTACGAAAAAATTATTACAAAATTCCAAACAGTATTATAAAAACTGCTATATCATCTGAAGACATTTTCTCGTTCGTATTTATATATTCAAAGTTTTATTTTTGGCTTTTATTTAAGAAATTAATCGAAAAACAAAGCGATATGATATTTTATTATTTATTATTTATTATTATGATATTTTATTATTTATTAGTTATTAACGACCTCCCTCTACTGTTTTTTAACAGGTTATAGAAATATTAAAACTAAAAATTATACTATTAAAACATCTCATTTATTTTTGCTATTATCTTTAATTAATCCTAATTTTGGGCACATCCTTTCAAGAAATCATTTTGCTGGAACATGAAATGAAAAATCTCATAATGCTGTGCTTTTATCCTATTCTCTATCGTATACCCATTTTTACCAATGTAGATTAATTTTTAACTTGGTTTAACTTACTTTTTAGTTTTTTTAATTCTAAGAATTAGAAAAGAATAAAAAGTAAATTAAATCAAGATTAAAGTTAATCGACATTGATAGAAACGGATATCAGACGATTTTTATTTACGAGAAGTTTAACTCTGCTATGTAATCTATTGACTGTGCATGTCTCTACTTACACAAGGTTTAGAAGATGTTATGAGACTGTTTTGATGCACACTGAAATTTTCAAATATTTTCAAAACGATAAGAATCTTTAGACCGTATATATGAGAACACAATTAATAAACTAGAAGCCGATCAAAGATGGATCTTTAATGCTTTTAAATAATTTCTATGCGAATTTATATACAAAATATATAGTTATTTGAATTTCGCGCCGAAATGATTTTTCGAACTTATAAATGCAATCAACTACTATAGTAATATTACAAATTAAACTGATAAGCAATTTCATAATTTGATGCTCAATCTGGCATTCTACTACAAAGATGTTAATGTACTGAAAAATTAAAGAAATTTATTGCGAGAAATATTACCTCAGCCGGGAGTCTCAACCCAGATCTCTTGAATTCCATACGAGCATTTTAAGTCTTTAACTACCGAGGAGATTTTCAAAACATTTCTTATAAAAAATATATTATCAGTGGCAATGACATAGTCTCCGACATTATTATAGTTTTTTAAGCATTTGTAAAATGTTCAATCAACAAATATTTATCAGGTACCTGTGTTTTCAAACAGTATAATCATTAATAAAACTCTCCATAAAGAGTATAATTATCATTAAAATTCTTCATAAATAGTATAATCACATTAAAATTATTTATAAACAAATATAAACTATATATTCTATAAACAGATTGTCGACTTTGCCTCCATGTTTGAAGACAATGCCATATTTGTAGATTGTGTTCACTCACTCTCACATATATATAAATCACACGGATAATAACTAGTGTTTTCACAAGTTCACGCGATACTCACAGACAGGACGCATACATACGCTTATGTGAGCTAAAACAAGGTCAGCCTAGAATAAGGTTCATCTCTTTCTATCATATTAAGTTAATTGAGTAGTCTGTGATATAAACACAATTTCTTAGTAACAATTTTCGCCAGAGATATAGTCACTTTTTTATTATCTGCACTGCGTGCAGATAACTCTCTTTCTCTGAGAGAAAGAGTATATTCTTGTAGAGTATATCCTACAATCTCTCACGTTGTTTTTTAAATTTCAATATCTAATTTCGAATCATAGACAGATGTATCATTAACATTTTGATGATGCTAGCAGTTTTTCGTCCTTTATCACAGGATTAGTGATAGGTAATTACATCGCGCTTCATTTCACTCCAAAAGCTGATTCTGTGAAGGCCTGGAAGGTATTACCGTCACTGCCACGAAGGGACAAACGTCGGGTGTGGCTTATCTGAACGGACGAGCGGTTTCACCGGAATTTGCTTGTAACCGCTTACAACCACAGTGCACGCTGGTTCAGTTCGTTGAAGTAGCGTGTATAGTAATTACTTAACGAAGTAAATATGATTTCACACGCTTGTATGTATATTCCGGAAATATTTTTTAAATTACTTAAGTAAAGATATAAATAATAGATAATATAAATAATAAATATGTAATTGTACCAAGCTACATATAAAGTATCACACACTCCACGAAAAATATTATGAAATAGAAAATCTAAAACTTTTTGTCAAAAAAATAAAAATCCAACACAAAATACAACTAATCGGAAATAGATCGGAAATAGTCCATAACGATCGAAACTGGATTTTTGGTGCTTAAATAATTCAGTATGAATTTTATATATTACGTATGTAATCTTTTAAACTGTGCGTCGAAATGATTTTTCGATCTTCTGAAACGCAAACTCCACTGAATTATTACTATCGTAATATCACAGTATAATATCACAAGTTAAATTGACTAGCAATTTAACAATTTGATGCTCGTGAGCATCATAGAACGATCTTAATAATGCTGAATGATATATTAAAATCTGTAAATAATTTTATTGCGAAAAATATTACCTCTACCGGGCATATTTGCGCATGAATTTATTAACTTATCTTGATCCTAATGTATCGTGGCAGCGATTAAGAATGTTTTAACTGGACAATATCAGCTAAAGGAATCAGTTATTTGCTACATATCCGGTACTATATTTCTAAAAAATATATCAGTGTCAATAAAAGTTTTCAGGTATTCATACCATTATATACATCATTTCAATATAAAGTTTCGGCCAAATATATTGCCAAAAATCAGATTTCCAATGCATCTCTAGTTGTAAAATTAAATTTCTTTAGTAAAGAATTAGTTTACAATTTTAAGGGAAAAATAAAGTAAATTAGTAAATTAAATATGTGTAATATTATGATGTATGTACCATATATGCTAGTAATTAATAAAAAATTAATAATATAAAACAAGTTTAATAGTCCACCATTTTATTCTCCTCTCCTTGCCCCCCTCCCCCTTTCCGAGTTCAAAAATCTCAATTCTAATTTGTCCGCGCCTATAAACAATATCCTGATTATGCCCTGTATATATGTATTATTATATATTATGTATTATTATATATTAATATAATAAAAGATATAAGATAGATACGAGAAGATTATTCTATTACTTAATTTCACACCAAAATCACTTCATTTCTAATCACCATAATACATTATCGATTAATACGCTGCTTCCTATCGATTGTTCAATTTAGCCGGCAGGAGTGCCATACTAACAATAAGACGTCCATGGATGCATAATGGGGCAAGTACGTGGCACATACTATCCGCTACGTAGCCGGCTTATCAGAAGCGTGCAGAGGGTAGGCAGGCTTATCGACTCAACGGCTTGACAGGCTTCCACGTCCTTTCCCACCTTCAGTAGGTGGAGCGTCGAAAGATGATGAGCACCGATCGAAGGACTTTCAGCCGTTCTCTCAGGGCCATTCTTGCTAAGCCTTGTACGAAGTCGTTGATGCGTCATGAGAAAGGAGATAGCACGGTCGTGGGATCACGCTGACCGATATTATGTGCTTAAGAAGCTCGTGGCCGTTCCCCGATATGACTACAACGGTAAACAGAGCTTTCCCACCGGACCCTCTCTTTCCAGATCGGCTTAGCGCGAGCAAATATATTTCGCATCGCGGCGGATCAGAAAAATCGGAGAGGAATTAATCGGTCAAATATGGAGATCGGTTGGTAATCTTCTTACCGGCATTCGTGCTTCATTGAATCGTACTTAGCGGACTACTTTAGACGAATATACTGCTTATAAAAAGAGGTTTAAGAGACGAATCTACTCCCTTATAGAGACGTATCTACATTGAAGCTAATATAGCTTTCAACTCCCAATACCGCGAGAAAAGATTTCTTAAAACACTTTTTCGTTTAAAAATTTCTTGGAAACTTTTTAAAAATAAATTTTATACGGAATATAAACAAATATTCTTTTGCAATTTTTTCGTTTGACAGATTCGAAAAATTATTGTTTATTAAACTATTTATTAAATTATTATATCAAGCTTCCTTAGCTTATTATTTTGATGCCTGTATCTAATGACAGAATACGATTCATCATACGATGTATCATGTATGTCATTGTACAAATGTAGACGCACAAGAAGAATATGGATTGAATTAGAGTGTGGTACTTACAAATTATAGTGCACATCTGCCATGTTCGGTCGATAGCGAAGAGCTTGAACGAACGCTTCTTCCGCTTCGGTTACTCGCCCCTGCTCGCTGAGAATGCTGCCCAAATTTCCATAAGCTAGAATCAATGTAAAAAATATTTATTAGATTTTTTTTTAACATTTCGTAAAATATTGGCAAAATATCAAATATAAAAGGACTTAAATCGACTATTTGAGCCCGTTCGCACAAAAAGATAATAAGATGATAAACATGACAAATTTATGGGAGAAATTTTTGAGAAATGTAAAAAAAATGGAAGATTAAGGAGGATAATAGTGAAATACAATAATAGTGGTGTCTGTATAGGAATCTGATGGCAGCAAGCTAATTATTAACGGATGGCACGATGCACAGGTGCGAAATACGTCTTACGCTTTCGGTGTTAATTATTATCCTAGCGGCAATTACTTGAGAATTATCACGATCAAGATACGCCCGCCCATCATTTCTCTGCTTACGTGCTCGCTTGTAGTTGAATATTCAACTTGTTAAATGATCAGCAGGAAGTGCCCCAAGAACATAGTTACATGTTGCGCGCACGCACACTACGTCTATATATTGTACATCACCTCTCAGACATAAAGGTTAATATTTTCATAGTTATTATACTTCCAGCGCTATTATGCAATATTTGAGAAGTGCAGTTTGCACAGAACACTTTGCCACTTGAGTGATATTAATTCTGGCTAATCCAAAGCATGTAAAATATAACACTATTTCATAATGGAATTAAGCAACTGCGATATAATACGTATCGAATATTGTTGTGTTTGAAATTTAATTTATAATTTTATCAGATAAATGCACATTTTTCGACGATTAACTTTAATATTTATACACTCTCCTTTCTGATTTTATTACTTGAATTATATGCAAAGTAATAATGTAACATAAAGATTGTTAAAATGTATTTTAAAAAGTAATTTTTATAAGTAAGTAATAAGTAATAATTTATAACATTAAAAATTATAATATGAATAGAAAGATATTCGTAAAAAAATCAAAGAATATTTTCGTATTCGGAATCTTCCCTGGCTAATAAACAAAATAAATGGATATATAACAGCATTTTATAGAGATAGCATTTAGAAAATAATTTTTTACAATTAAAAATGTTGATTAATTAAAATAACAGAAATATTCAAATATATATTTTAAATCTCATTGAGATTCTTTCTTATACGTGCACTCAGTTACAAATGATACATTATCGTGGTGCAATCAGTGGAAATCGCAGTTAGCCGAGGGAAACGGTACTGAAGATATATATATATATATGTATGTATGTATGTATGTATGTATGTATGTATGTATGTATGTATGTATGTATGTATGTATGTATGTATGTATGTATGTATGTATGTATGTATGTATGTATGTATGTATGTATGTATGTATGTATGTATGTATGTATGTATGTATGTATGTATGTATGTATGTATGTATGTATGTATGTATGTATGTATGTATGTATGTATGTATGTATGTATGTATGTATGTATGTATGTATGTATGTATGTATGTATGTATGTATGTATGTATGCGCGTGTTAAATCAACGTGTAGACGTCAACCTGACGGTAGAGTGACTCCGTGGCCTCAGTGATGCAAAGGGGAGAATGTACGCAGCTGTGAGATGCAGGCTGTTGAACAGGAAGGAGAGGAGGACTTGCGGAAGGGTGAGAATGAGCACGGATGCATCGTCCGACGAATACGCGAGCGCGTCCGCGTCGGCGCGACCTCTGAACCAACAAAATGTAAATTTATTTCTCGTAGCGGAGCAGCCTGTTAACACGGTAACACGCAATTTCTGTCGGCGCAATTAAAACGCGCTGCAACGTTCGCTGTTTGCGCCACGCCGTGATGCGGTGGTAGCGCGTTGTGTTGGCGTCAGCTCGCGTGACCGTCCGCTCTACGAGTAGTACGAGTAGTACGAGTAGTACGAGTCTACGCCCGTCACTCGTCTCTCTATTCTCTTGCTCGCTCTTGCTCTTGTTCTCGCACTTTGTCCATTTGTTCCCCTTGGCGGGGACATAAAAAATAATGATCGAAAATTAGATGGGAATGAGAAACATTCTAAGAGAGCAGAGACGAAATCGTCTCTCACGAGACCAAATGCTGGATTGTAGAATTAAGATGAGTAACTTTGAGATTGTTAATTTTTTAAATGTGAAAAGATACAGAAGTGAATTTTCCCAGTCAAACTTTGATAATTATTAGGAAATTGAGATGAATTTTTTAACAAAAATATCACTTTTTTATTTCAAAACTAACAACTTAAAAAATTATAAGTTTCCCAGGAAAAAGAACTTTTTGAACTTGACGGAAAATTATTATTGACTAACCAAATAATATCAAATGATGTAAAAAATATATATTTTTGACGTGATCAAATGTCATAATACATAAAATAATATATATTTTTTTTCGTTATTTTTATTTCATAATTCTAAAAAAAATACCTTTTGTGACAATTTTTGCCAAAGTTTGTCTATTTTTGAAGTAAGAAAGCGGTATAATAACGAAAATATTTTAATGGCTTGTAACAAATATGATGAGAATCCAATCATATGTTTATACATGTAATATATATAAAACTGTTATCATAAGTGATTTCTACGTTAATTTTGTAAAATTTTATTTTGATATAATGTTTACGTAACAAAAGCTGACGAAATCTGACTTTAAAATGCTCGAGATTAACCAAGAGCAAGAGTGCAAGTAAATAATAAAAGATTAAGTAAGGTAATCTCAAAATTTAAAATAACAATGCCACCGATAACATTGAACAGATACAGCTGAACTGATGCGGTATAATTAATACGAACTACTGTCCGGTAGATTAAATCGTGCAATCAATCGTTAGATTATCACGAAGGTAAATGGGGCGAATAAAGTATAAAAAGTGGCAAAGACGGATGGCGTTCCAGAGTTCGCATATGAAGGAAGAAAGTAACTTATACGGTCGCTGCTTTATGTATCGAGTTTAAAAAAACCAAATATCCATTTGTTTTTCCCTTGTAAATTTATTCGCAAAAAGGTTATACTGTTTATACTTTCAAGGCACTTTTTAATATACGAAATAGGAAAACGTTGTGAAATTGCTTTCAATATACTGGATATA